AAAGGAAAGGAAAGGAAGAAAGAAAAAAGAAAGGGAAAAATTGAGATAGATGAGAGATAAGTAAGTATTGAGATACATACTGAAGTAAGTTATTTTAAATTTTTATTTGGAGAGATTTTAAAGAAGCAATTCCTAGTACAAACAGTGTGAAAATCTTTAGGAAACTTCCAATAGAGCTGTTTTACATTAAACTTTCTCCATAAAGGAAGTTTATGGTATAAAATAAAATTATCTGTTTTTCCATACACTGGTCAATACTGAATTGTCTCTTAAATTTTTGCTTAAAAATGTTTATTAAAAAGCAATTATGAAAGCTACCTTATGTTACTGATTTGAATCTTCTAGGAAATCAAATATATATTTTTTAAATTAAATGTAGCCAATGAAAATTTTGTTTGCTTTAATAATATCCTTATAGAATAGTGAAACTGTTGTGTTGAGTTTGGGGTGTTTTGTCTTTTGAAGTGTGTGTGTATGTGTGTGTTTGAGCTGCTTGCAGAAATAAAGGAGTGTAATTGGTCATTAACAGATTCTTATGACTATTGTTTATAGCCAAGCTATCAGATCACTGGAATAGATATGTCACAAGCATTTGTGTCAAAAGATTGTAACTATAAAAATTTGTGTATTATAGCAATTTGCAATCAAAAGTGTCTTTATGGAGGCAGATGTGTACTCCCCAACATATGTTCTTGCCGCCCTGGATATTCTGGAGTCAAATGTGAAAAGAAAATACAGGTATTTTACATTTTAAACAAAACATATGTTACATTGACATCTGACATTTACTCAAATATTCTACTTAGTAATTCATACCTATCTGTTAATGTTTTATTTTCTTTTATTTCCACAAAGGAAAACATACAAGGTTTAACTATTTGCCTCTAAAACCAAAATGCTATTGTTTTTGCGCCATTATAGTTATCTAATTGTTCAAAATTTTGATGTGCACTTAAGGAAATTCACTGTGCAGATACAGCCATCAAATGTGATGCAGTATTTCATGGTACCAGGGTTGAAAGAGAGCAATAATCTCATAATATAGATTTAACACACTAATAATTTATATTTAGTCAAATATTTGATACAAAGACCACCTTTAGTGTTCTCAAAAAAAAAAGTTCACTACTTTTAGATCAGTGAATCACTACTTCATTGATTTAGAGGGTGGAGGGTGTCTAAACATTTTTGGTGGATTCTATGCCACTGAAGTCTTGAATATCTTCATTCTTTTCCCTGATACTAGTTCTTTCTCTTTATTTACTCTCTTTTAAAATCCATTTCAGGGATAAAAGCTTTTCACATCATTAGAATTAGGATTTATTTGTATTTCAGAAATAAAGAAACCAAAGGAAGAACAAGAGCTTAGAGTTTCTGAAATTGTCCCACACTTACTAGTAAGGCCAGTGCTGTATAATACCTATTTTAAAAGTTTCTGTGATCATATTTGTACTTATAAAATGAAACTGAATTTTTTAGGTCTCCAATCTTGAATTCCTATCAACAGCCAAGATTTTTTTTTAGCCCTAATCCTATACACACCAAGGTGGCTCTAACAATCAACAACCACACACACACACACACACACACACACACACAAAATGCAATAGAACTCTCCAGAAGTTCTCAAACTGTATTAGATCTAATTTTAAAAGCAATTATATGCTATTTAGCACTTCAAAAAACTCAGTGGTCATGCATATCAAAGTTTGCTGGAGTATTAAAATTTCAAAAATGATAAGGAATTTTCTTCCTGAAGCAAGATACTGAATCAGTCTGGCTTAGAGGCAAAGTGCATGTATTTATGTTTTTCTCCTAGCACTGGTGTTCATCCTGGAAGGATATGGCCCCCATTTTGTAGGGGGAAGAAATGATCATAATAGAACTATAGTTTGAAAACCAGGAAACAGAATTTATTGAGTAACCATTTGATCAGCTATTGTTAAGAAAAAATAAACATAAAAGTTTGAGTTTCCTAGGTTTGAAGGCAGCCTAAATATATTTTATTTTATTTGAGATTTTTATGGCACAGAAAACCCTATCACCCCAAAAGCTTTCAACTCCACTTTGACCTACTAAACTAGGTTACTTCTCTATATTCTATTTTTATGTATTCCTTTGCTGTCTGAATCCTTCCTCATATGATTAATAGGAGATCATCTTCATCCCCATTCATGTTGCTTCTGAGACTGCAACTGGAACCACATTAAGGAAAGAAAGAACAGAAAGTCATGGGGAAAGAAAAAGAAAACAAAACAAAAAGACTAGCTCAAGGACCATTATGTCCTGCTTTACTGTAACCTGCTCTCCCAAGTTCTTATGGGTTGCTAGAATTTCAATGAAAAAGACAGAGAATTACTGACTAGAAAAAAAGAGACAGAAAGAGGAAATAAAAAGGGGAAAGGAGGTGGTAAAGAGAGTGGGTTGATAAACAGCTTTGAGTGGCTTCATAACTTGCTGATTAGATGATAAGTGCATTTATCATATCCCTGCCACTTGTTTGCTGTGACCTTGAGCAAGGTATTGAACCCCCCAAGCCTCAATTTTTTCATCTATAATATGGGACTAATAATAATAATACCTAATCATAAGGTTATAAGGATTAAATATATTAATATATGGGAAGTACCTAGAATAGTACCTGGTATGCAGAAAACACTATGTACTTTGTTATTGGTGGTGACACTGAATAGAGGAATAGAGACGTGGAGAAGGAAACAGATGGGCAAAGAGACTTGCAATGCATTTTGAATATCTAAAGTCTTCCTGAAGGATACCAGAAAAAAAAGTTATTCTTTTATTGAGCATGGATGTTTCTTGAATGTAACCCCTTGCCAAGATGGAATCATGCAGTATCCAAGCTCCATTCAGTCACAACTGCTATGATGTTTAAATACTGATTAGACCTCAATTTTATGAAAGCAGTGCTTCGTCTCTAGTGCCGAAGATAGAACCAAAAGAGCTCTATGTATCATGCTGGGGGGAGGCGGCAAATAATGAGTCAGAGTTAAATTGTTTTCTAATATCTTTGAAATTTGATTTCTCTCTTCCTACTACAGATAAAACGTCAATAGAAAGTATATGAATTACTGATCTGTATCTTAAGAACATGAATTTTTATTCAGAAAAAGTTGAAAATAACTACTTGAAATTTATCTGCACATCATTTTTGAAACTATTTTAAAGACTGAGGAAACTAATAAAAATACAGAATGGTCTTAGTTATCACTGTTAGAGAATAGCAAAGAAGGAATCCAGATCATCGAAATTTTACTTTGAAATGTGATTTAATATTTACATACTGAGATGATGTTTCTGATATTCCCAACATTCATAATATTTAATAAACTGAATATTTTCCCAGTCCTTCCTGTGATGGTGTATTTACTTATTATCAGGATCAGTCAACATAACAGAAGCCACTTGATGTATCCAGATATAAAGTGTTAATGCGGAATTAGGAACTCTCAAGACTGTTGGAAGTGCTGGGAGCAGGGATGGGGGAGGACAGGGTAGAGCTCAGGAAAGCACCTGCTGAAGGTCAGAGAGGTTGAGAGTGAAGATGTCAGCCTAAAGCACCAAACAGGGGCTTTTCAGTTTTTCTGGAGCTGCTGCAATACTTGTGAATCTTTGATAACTACCACCAAAGTAGGTCATCATAAAAAAAAATTGCAGGAAAGCCACTGTGAATCTTTCACCTATCCAAGTATCCACCTGCAAACACCTCTGAAAAAAATAATGGCTTGCTATTCATTTCCATCTTCTATCTCTCTAGAAAGCTTTTTTCATTGGTAAACTATAACCCCGAATCACAGAGAGAAGGGGATTCTGGAAAATGCAGTTCCCAGCCTTAGAAGGAAGTGACAGTGGTGCCAAGGGGACAAAAGTGAGCTAACACAAGATACACTAAACATTCTGCATCTTACTGCTTTGGACTATATTCCAGAGAGTAAAGCAACTACTTTTTAGCGATTAAAATACCATATTTAGCTTTGTCTTTGTTTTTCCTATTTTTTCTGCTGCTCTGACCTGTACCACTTCTGGACAAGGTGGAAGAAATAATGAAATTTGGGATTTTAAAAGACTTACTTGGTCATTGTGCTTATGTGTAAAAAGATACTGAAAACGTACATTTTATCTATCCATTCTTTTGGTACCATGATCTATTTTGGTGCAGAAGCAAGAGAGGAGCTATCACAAAATCAAATCCTTCTACAAATATCAAAGAGAAGTGGATGCTTAATAAAGGAAAAATTAAATTACATGAATTGTTGAGTAAGTAGGAATGTCAACAGGAATATACAAATAGTAGAAAGATCTGTCTCAGAGATGCAAATAACCATATGCTAACTAGAGTTATAAAACTTCCTTTTCTTTACTGTCTTATATTTGACCTCAAATTTTTCATTCGTCTTTTTCAAAAAACATTTTGCTTTCATTTGAACATACCTATTTTATTTTATTTATTTATTTTGTTGTTTTTTTTA